TATGTGAATGCGCAATGTCACTTACAAAATCAAAGAATTGTTCGGGCGATGAAGTTAACGACACTCATTTATACTCATAAATATCATTGTGTCCGCCTCCATTACATTTTTGTGTTTTGACATTGATCTTTCTGTTGGAAAATATTTCTTTCGAAATTTATGTGGTACCATTTTATTTTTGACAAATAAACATTGATTCAACATCGTCTTTCTGCAAATTTGCCGTATCTTGGCTGATCCTTGAGTGGTTTCTTGGGGTTATAAATTTGGAATTGGCTAACAGAAAATAACAGTCTGCCTCGCTTGAATCTATTCTTAAAGAAGGGTTCTATTGAAGTCTTCTCTATTCTACCGGTTTTCTTCTCTTCATCGTTTTGAAATGTTTTGTATGAGCGATATTTTTTGTTTTCAGCAAATTGAGTGTGTTGTTGATGAATTGAACGCAATTGTGAGGCGGCGGCATGTGCTCAGTGAGGGAGCAGCATCCGATGGAGATGAACGAGTGTTGGCTGTGCTGTCGATGATGATCGGCTTATTTGAGGCTTTTCGAGTCATTTTCCCATTTTTCTCACCCGAAATTCACCGAAAATGTCTCTCGTGCCTTTCAGTTGGGTTTGTTTCTTTCATATTTTCAGTTATTCTCGACAATGACAATGATTCTTATCAAGATTATTGATACAAGTCATTGTTAGCTTACGATTTTTTTGTGATGTTTATTTCGTTGCTGAAAAGTAGTTTATTAAATTTTGAGTACTGCAGAATCGTTTGATGAAATATATTCAAAATGTAGCCTGGAATGTGTTTGGTCCATAATTTGAAATAGTTTGAAAGAATTGCGAAAAACTCTTGAATGTGAGATCGAATGAAGATCGAAGGTCAAATAAAGATAATGAATTTGTAAACAGTTATGTTGATATCTGTGAGTATGAGATAAGAGAGTATTTTTTGTAGATTCTTTATGAAAAGAGATACAATAGTTGAGATGAAATCAAAATTCAGGATTGCATCGTTTATTGATCGTTTGGAAGATTGTATAAGCACTGACTCGGCTTTTGCAAATCTGGTCATGTCTTCATCGCATCCAAATTTGAGGTCATTTCTTTATTCAATTATTCATTCGCTCCTTCATTTCTTCTGGAAGGAAATTTCTCAGTGTTTATTGGAATTTATTTTGCAGCTTTTTTTCCTTCAACGAGAATATATTTCCATCGAATAATAAAGTTTATAGTTCAGGTGTTTGTTACGGTTGTACGATGAGGTGTGTGCAGAGGCAAGTCAGCTTTTTCATTTGTTGATTTCTTCGGCGGATAATGCGAAAGAAACATCAGTTATGAAGCTTCAAGAAGTATTAGTCTATGAAAGGTGATTGTTTATGAAATTTAATGATAAGAATGTGCTGATTTTAATAATGTGATGTTATTTACTATTGACGTTAATGTCATTACTATATTCATCACTTCGTACCTGAAGCAGATAAGGTTTGGAAAGTCGAAAGTATGCTTGAATCTATATATTGTTCCAGAAGAAACGAGCGTGTATTGGATTGTTCAATGAGATTGTAGGGAATGGTCTGAAAGAATAGCAAAAAAAATTTAATTTGCTGTTCATTGAAATAAAGTACTTGGTTCTGTGTTTTTGAATTAAGGCTATTTCATTTTGAAGCAATGAGATATTCGTTTTGAATTTAATGCAGCACAGTGGTTGTGGTCAACTCAATCATCAGTTAACTGATTTTCAGTTAGATTATGAATGATTTAGTGTCACGTTGTCCATTAAACTGATTGTGAGTACGTTTCGTTTAATTGTTTTTGATTAAATGCGATAAATCACCTTTCAGTTTCATATTCTACTATAATTTATTGTATCCGATCAATGAGAC